CATGGTACTGTATATAAAATGAGGCGGTGTGGAATAGGGAACATTGTACTGTTTTACTCTGTGTTGCATGCCATCCTTTCCCTATTTTGCACTTCCTCATTCTGTATGATGTGCTGCACACAAATATGTACTTACCTCTTTGTCCTTTTTAGTCCTTCACCACCTGCCATGGCAATTAAGGCATTGTACAATATGTGACAAATCTGCAGGCTGGTATGTAGGAGAATTAAATATCAGCAAATAAAAAGTCTACCATTTAATGACTCCAAATATGCTATATTGCCAAAACTATTGGGACACCCCTCCAAATCATTGGATTTGGTGTTTCAATCACCTTCATGACCACAGGTGTATAAAATCAAGTACCTAGGCATGCAGACTGCTTCTATAAACATTTGTGAAAGAATGGGTTGCTCTCAGGAGCTCAGTGAATTCAAGCATGATACTTTTGATAGGTTGCCACCTGTGAAATTTTCTTGCTACTAAATATTCAATGGTCAACTATTAGTGGTATTATAACAAAGTGGAAGCAACTGAGAACAACAGCAACTCAGCCACAAAGTGGTAGGCCATGTAAAATGACAAAGTGGGGTCAGTGCATGCTCAAGCGCACAGTGTCCAGAAGTTGCCAACTGTCTGCAGACTCAATAGCTAAAGACCTCCAAACTTTGTGTGGCCTTCAGATTAGCACAATAACAGTGTGTAGAGAGCTTCATGGAATGGATTCATCCTACCTGCATCCAAGCCTTACATCACCAAGTGCAATGAAAAGTGTCAGATGCAGTGGTGTAAAGCACGCCTCCACTGGACTCTAGAGCAGACTTTAGACTCTGGAGTGACGAATCACGCTTCTCTGTCTGGCAATCTAATGGATGTGTCTGGGTTTGGCAGTTGCCTTACTGCATTGTGCCAAGTGTAAAGTTTGGTGGAGGGGGGGGGGGGGTTATGGTGTGGGGTTATTTTTCAGGAGTTGAGCTTGGCATAGCAATTTTGGACAATTTCATGCTCCCAACTTTTTGGGTACAGTTTGGGAATGGACCCTTCCTGTTCCAACATGACTGCGCACCAGTGCACAAAGGAAGGACCATAAAGACATGACTGAGTGACTTTTAGGTGAAGGAACTTGACTGGCCTGCACTCAGTCCTGATCTCAACCCGATAGACTGCGAGCCAGGCCTTCACATCAGTGCCTGACCTCACAAATGTGCTTCTGGAAGAATGGTCAAACATTCCCATAAACACACTCCTAAACCTTGTGGGCAGCCTTCCCAGAAGAGTTGAAGCTGTTATAGATGCAAAAGGTTGGCCAACTCAATATTTCATGTACATGTAAAAACAGGTGTCCCAATACTTTTGGCAATATAGTGTATGTTTGCCACATTTTTGTGGGCCTGTATGGAATCAGTGGAGGACTTAATGGACACCTAGGCTGTGCTCCTGTGGAGTAATATGACCTTGGCAAATCTGGTATAAGCAAGTATTCTACCTTTTAACACCATCAGAACCTTCAGTTTCACCTTATACCATATACCTTAATTCCATTCATCATTGATTAATAGCTCACATCTTCTCCTGACTCAATGATCAACAGTTACCATACACACTTGACTGATGAATGGGCATGGCCTTTTATTTTTCATCCACCAAACCTTTCTATATAGCAGTATGAGACTAAAGAATAATGCCAAATTTCCTAAAGTTTAAATATGTTATACAGTATGTATACTTGAATTTTACTTGAACGTTGTTTAAAGTGGTAGTAAACTCTTTTTTTAACTTTTACCTACAGGTAAGCTTATAATAAAGCTTACCTGTAGGTAAAGTGAATATCTCCTAAACGTGCACCATTTAGGAGATATTCACTCATTTTTAGAGCTGGCGCTTGCGCTCTAAATGAACGGCATACCCTTGACATTCCTTCAGAGTATTGTGCCATGGCCCAGGACTCCTGCACCAGTCAGACGGCCGGAGCTCGAAACCTGGAAGGAAGACCGAGTGAACATGGAAGCCTCTGCAGCAGTGACAGCACGCCGCTAGAGGGCTTTGTTTTAAGATAAGTCCTTCATAATGCATACTAGCACATTATGACATTACTTTGCATAGATTTTTTTTTCTCACTTGCAGCTTACTACCACTTTAAGCGCAAAGACTTTCCCCTAGTACCTGATGCCTGAGCTTATAAGACCTGCATTTAAGAAACATGCAGGAAGACAGCAGCTTTGATATTATTACTTTTCTCTTCTTTCTGCCTTTTCTCTCATCTAAGAACTGTCATTCCAATTTTATATTTTAACTTGAGTGCTGCAGATAATAGGGATTTAATATAAAGGAATATTGCAGGTAATTAGCATATCCCAATTTAAATTAAACATAGCAAAATATTTTTTTCTTTTTATTATTCTTTTTTAATTTTCCTTTATGTTTTACTATTGAAAATATATTAGACTTACTGTTTTATTTTTTCTTAGAAAGCATGCTTTAATCAACAAGTACATTATGTCAATGACTGTGAAGGTGACCTATGGGGTAAATTAATTGAGAACATTTCCTTTTTCATGCTCCTCAGTTCCCATGGACACCTAATACCACAACTTTACTCTTTATATATTCTTGCCAATTACATATACAGACTCTGTAATTTACTCTTTGTTTGTCTTATCAGTTGACTAAAAATTCTACAAGTTTAATATGACAGACAAAAGGTGAAAGAGAACGCACCACTGTGAGCTCAGTTTTGAGTCACCAAATCAAAAATATGCATGTTGTAAAGGGAAAATCTTTCAAAGGGGGCACCAGTTCCAGTGACAACTATCTTGTCTACAACAAAGAAGATGATGGGAAACCTCTACAATGGGACACAGATGGCAAAAAAAAGAAAAAAAACTTGACAGGGGTTTTGACAATTCTCTACTCTAATAAAAACTAAAGCTGAACTCCCACCAACCTTTAATTCACACATCCCTCTAATTACTGAGTTAAAGGGAAAAACCTAATCCAAAAGCTCCATTTATTCACAAAAAAAAATAGAAAAAAACAGCAGTCTTATACTATGCTTGATGGGTGCTGAGTCTTTTATCTTCTTAACTGCAGCACAGTGGCTAAGTACTAGGGTCGGTGGTTTGAAACCCAACCACAGCACCCCCTGCCTGGAGTTTGCATGTTCTCCCTGTGCCTACATGGGTTTCCTCCCACACTCCAAAGACAAGCAGGTAGGTTAACTGGATCCTGTCTAAATAGGCTCCAGTATATGTATGTATGAATGTGAGTTAGGGACCTTTCATATACCAGTGGGGGCCCAAGACTGCTGCGTTCCCAGAGCCCTCCTAGGATTGCTCTGCCTACCCTAAGCTGTGCCCAGAGCCCTCCTCAGATTGCCCTGTCAGCATTCTCTACTGTGTTCCCAGTGCCCTCCTCAGATTGCCCTCCCTGCCCTCTATGCTGTATGCCCAGAGCCCTCCTCAGAGTGCCCTGCTTGGATCCCCTGATGCCCATACCACCCCATCCACTACTCAGGACAGTCAAACTTCTGCAGCTTTGAACCCCTCCTGTCCCTTATCTCCTCTGCTGTTACCGTTCTGAGGATCATTTTCCATGGCTGTGCCTTATTGTTGCCCTGTGAACTGCTTCCCTTTTGCTGTACCATATTCCCACTCCATGGACTATTACCCCTTGCCACTGCCCTGAGGATCATCTCCCCTTTATGTGCTACCTGTAACCTGTTTATCTGTGCCGTGCCCATTGCTACTCTGAGAACTGTTTATCTGTGCTGTGCCCATTGCTACCGTGTGAACTGTTCATCCATGCTGTGCCCATTGCTACTCCGAGAACTGTTTATCCATGCTGTGCTTATTGCTATTCTGAGAGCTGTTTATCCATGCTGTGCTCATTGCTACCCCATGAACTATTTATCCGTGCTGTGCTCATTGCAACTCCATGAACTGTTTATCCATGCTGTACTCACTGCTACTCTGAGAACTGTTTATCCATGCTGTGCCCATTGCTACCCCATGAACTACTTAGCCGTTCTGTGCCCATTGCTAGTCCATAAAGGGTTAAACTATAGTTTGGTTTCTTTGCCACCCCGCCTGTACTCCCAAGTCTCCCAATAAGCGCCCGCCCTTCGAATTTCACATGATATGCCTCCGTGCGCTCCTAATGTATTATATACAGCATATACTGTATATATATATAAAATATAAATATATATATTTTTGTATACATTATGTTGTGATATGGGGTAATTAGACTCAATGTGGTAGATTTTTAGTGAGCTTTGCGCCAGTCCAAGCTCGGTTTTAAGGGCTTGCCAACCCACTTTTATTGGAAAACAAAGAAAAGTCCATAGACATAGATTCCCAAGCAGGGTTCTTCTCCAACAAACAACAACAAAAAATGTTAGCCCATATGGCTATGCATCAGCAGCTCCGCTGCTATTAACACTGTTTTTTTCCAACCAGGGGTTCTTCAGGTTCAGTCAGTCATTTTCTTCACAGCACCTTGTTACATGGCTCAACTCATGGCCACCGGATAGCGTCCTCCCAGCACCCCGGGTTCTTACACTTCTGACAAGGCTCTTCACACACATGGTAGCAACTGCCCTGAGCTCTAATTAGGCCTGGTTTACAAAGGGTGTGCACACCTGGACACATAACAGGTTTCTAGTAAGAATTGGACACAGGATTGAAGGTTCTGTCCTACCCAAGACACTTCGGAACCTTCAAACTTCAGGCCCTGATGTGGGACTACAAAAACCCAGAGAAAGCTTAAAACATAGCATTCTCCAATCAGAGACAACATCCTGGAGCTTTGCATTCTGCCTTAGTGCAAACTCTGTGCCAGTTTTACCTACATTTTTAATAAATATATATATATATACTCGTAAGAGACGAAAAATACTTTGTTCTCTGTTTCAAATAAGAAGATCTTGTTTCCCTTTGAGCGGGGATTGACCACCAATGTCGTTGTGTAAGATTAAGCAGATGCTAAACACAGACAGTTACCTCATGTTCTCCTTCCTGTGAACAGTGACATACATTTCATATACTCTTCCCTGAGGTACTGCCCCAGCAGGAATCAGCAAGCTCACTCCTAAAGAATATGAAGATAAAAAGAAACAAATAGAAAAATCAATTAAATAATAGGAAATAATACTTGTAAGCGGAACATAGGCAATTTATGTTTCAAGCTTGCATTTACGTTTTCATGAAAAGAATTCATTTTACAGGGCAGTGTTGGATTCCTCAAAGTCCTCAAAGCCAATATGAGATATGTTGCCATGGCGATTGAAGCTCTACTTATGGCTCTCAAAAGCAAAATAATTGGTATGAGGTGAAATGGTAGGAAAAGACTGAAAAGGCAACATTCTGTGTATTTTTTTGTTGTTGTTTAAGAAAAACAAACATTCAATCATATGTATTAAGGAAATACACAATAGAAATCTGGATGTAATACATGTCCAATTTCTGAGTAATATTCCTGCCAGATGGAAACAGAAAGAGGTGCTGTATTTTAGGCTATACTTGTACAATCAAAGCTCTAATGTGAGGCACAAGTGCGTATTATATAACTTTGTGCTATGGAACTGTGCAAACCTCAGAAAGCCTTGAATGGATTACATACTATGTAGGTCAACAACTGTTATACCCTCACAAAAAAGGATGGATTCACACAACCGAAGTATACATTTGTATTAGTTTCATTAGCATTCACTAATATCCCTGGTTTGCAGTAAATGAACAGAAAATTTTTGAGATGTGTGAAGCATAACAATGAACTTTTCTTATGTGTTCAATTTTGACCTGGAAAATATACTATTGGAAGAAATTTGTTATATCTGTTTAATAAGTGCAAGAAAACAAGTGCACTTGTCTGAATTTGAGAGCTGGCTTGCGTCCTCTGCACACTTCCTGTGTTATCTCAAACAGCCCTTGTAGATTTTATATTGAACTAAATCCTGAATCCTGTATCGACTCAACTATAACCCTTATAGAGATTTGAGAATGTGAGAGTCTGAGTAGTTTAGCAAAAAATCCTGGGAAGTGCTGACACCTTTCAGTCCACAGAAATGCTCAAAACAATACAAAAAAAAAGAAAGAAGAATTACTAGTACCGGTAGGAAAGTGTAAAGAAATAAACTAACTCATGTATCTAATAGAAACTAATTAAGTTAACATTTTTCTTCACTGACTACTGGCTGCTGAGGACCGATGACCAGACAGTAACAATGAAAAAGCTGCAGTTTGGGCATTAGGACTCTAAACCTTCCTTAGTTGAAGTGGGACTTTACTCAAGCAGGGTTGCAGCTTGTAACTGAATAGCATTTTTTTTTTTTGGTGGGGAGTACCACTTCCAATGGTACCCACTTTCACTTCTTCCATCCCCACCTAGGGGAGGATGTTATATGTTTACTGCTGCTAAAAAGTAGAGAGACTCCTAATCTCCAAGCACAACTCCCCCTGTAGGTGCTAGCCCAGCTTGTGTGCTGCATAGATGAGAACAAAGGACGTCCAATCGGCTGCACTCCAAACAATCCACTGTATTGAACCAATATAAAACCAATACAGACAAGAGAAATACAGTGGGGGGCTGACAGGTAAATGTGTTTCACACTAAACACAGCACTTATTTATTACCCACAGGGGAGGATGTTTTTGCTTATCCCACCCCCCCTCCCCTCCAGCAGCCTCCTTGGACAATCACAGGTCCCAGGATGTTGCAGGACCAATCTTCCTGTGCTGAGTGAGCTCCTGCATGGACAGTGGGATCCAGCTGTGATACATCATGAAATCACAGCCACCTACCAAATCCAAGACAGCAGGGCCATGGAACTGCTGCTGTGAGAAGAAGCAGCTACAGGGAGAAAATACCAGAATCCAGGGATTGGCAAGTACCTGATTTTTGTAGCTGTATTTTTGTTCAGTATTTGCAGCTGCTGACTTTTAATTTGAAAACTTAGTAAAGTCCGTCTAATATTTTCCTTCACTGTCTTTGAGCAAGAACCTAGATAAGGTAGACATTGACTATGGGCTTCTGGAGACCGAGGGCCACACAGTAACTACTAAAAGGCTGCATGTTGGGCACTAGGGATCTAAACCTATCCAATTAACTAGAATTTTGCTCATCTTGTTGCCAGAAGCCCATTGATGGGATTTCCAATTCCTCTTTAGCCTGACACCTGGCAAACAAAAGGAATTGTAAAACTTTCCCTCGTGCCCGTATTTTTCAAACCATTGCCAAATAGACAGGGATAAGGAAAAACATTCCAATGAAGTCACAGGCAGAGGTTTGACTCTCACACACTAAACAACAAATTTTCGGCCAAACACATAACCGCCACCCATTATCTCCAGCCTAGCACTGTTAAGCCATACATGCCAATTGATGTCCAAACACATACCTGAATTGGGTATGATCAAGTGTCCACCCAATGAGTTGAATGTTCCAAAAGCAGTGCAAGATGGATCTGTCTGCCTTGCTAGGCTCTGGTTCTTTATGTTTAGAGTGTCATTTTCCAGTAAAGACTGCGTAATTTGAGGAGAAAGTTTTGATGAATAATCCGAAAGATCATCTTGAGGTGTTACAGCACCAGATGAATTGTACACTTTAATTTTCAAATTGGGAAGAGGGTCGAGGAGTGGTGAATTAGTCATTGGTATCTTATCAGATACATCATGAAGTGCATACACGGGTCCTCTGTACATTGCCGCTGCTGATGTTAGGTCTGGAGGAATTGCCAAGAGATCTATAAACAATTCATAGTGATCGTTAAATGAAGAAAATGCAACATTTTTCTTGGATTTATACAAACAAACATAAACATCCTATTTGTTGCTATGGACAATACTTTCAATAGATCAATAGATTCATTTTTGTCTCAGTTTACTAAGCACTACATTTAGTGTGGGTGTAGCATTCCCATGAAGTTTGATGAACATAGTTATTTACTAAAGTGGGACAAAACCTAAAATTATAAAAATTGTCAGCAGGCAGCTCTTTATTGCAGATGCTATGTCTCTTCAGCTCTTCATTTAGGCTCCTTTCAGACTTGCAGCAGTGTCTGCCACTTCACTGAAAGCAATTTGTAGTGGATTTATTTTCAGAGGGGTGTTCAGGAGGCAATGCTGCTGCCTCTTGATGTCTTTTTTTTTTGGGGGGGGGGTGTTTTTTATTGCCAAAGGACAATTTTGCATTGCGGGAACATACTGCAACTGCAAGCGCAGCCCTCTTTACTTACACAAGAGGGTTTGACAGGTGGTGATTCCTGTCAAGCTCTGCACATAGCTCTAAAATTGGTGCATTTAACTGTACCCATCCAAGCACCGCCTTGTCTGTTTGTTGGTGGGTGGTTGGGGGAGTGGTAAAAATGTGAATTAACTACCTGTTTTAAGCACCCCTTAGTAGAACCTAACCTGGCTGATCGCAGTTTCCAACTAATGTACGCTGTGCAGCTCAATGTACATTCCTAGAATACTCTGACTATGCTAGAATGAATGAAATAATTCCGCCCATTTAATTAAGAGGCCAAAAGCCTGACACCCAGAGATGAGATGGCAGCAGCCAGTGAGATAAGTAACCACTGCATCACTGGAAGGTGAGTATTTTGTGCATTTTAGTTTATGGCTGAACTCCAGGCAGCACCCAGTAGTGGGAGCCAATCAAACTTTACTGGCATCCACATGTGCTTACACTGAACATACTAACTGGGGGAATGGGCAGACTAAGAAAAGGTATGATCACATTGTCATGCTGTTTCCCTTTACTTTAGTTGCCTGCCTGAGGTTTATCTTTTGGCAGGGCATAAACTCGGGCAAATGCTTCACAAACAATTGTATAGAATTGTGTCACAAGCACAAAACACATAAAGAAAATAATTTGGGGAGAATAGTATACAATGAGAGGGATAATTCCAAATCATTCTACACTGGTGGACCAGAGATAAATCTGAACCATGATTTATAGGTGTTCCCTTCCGTATGGCCAGTTATGTTATCTGCCGATTTGTCTGTTCCAGTCTAATTTCCATATATCATGTGCACTGTTTATGCAGGTAATGCAGGTATCATGTTACCATTTTCTCTTTCACTAATGCTCATGTTTTTCCAGTAAGCCGATTTGTAAGTAAACAGCACATGGAAAAATGCAATAGGCAGTCATCAGATATTGCACAAGAGGGAAATCCATCAAGCAGATTTAGTGCTTGCTGCTCCCGAGTATTTTTCCGTACTTCCTCTGAAAAGCTATTATGTGATGAGGATATTTAGTTTGCCAGTTAAATCTTTCACAAATGAAGCATGTCACATGCAAAAATGTTCTGTTGATAATTGCGTGTTTTTATATGACAGCACGTGTAAATTGCAGGCATACTTGTTAGAGCTAATCTAAGGTAACAAGTGGGTTATTTGCTTCACGTACAAAGAAAGAAAGAAGGCATCGTAATGGTGCGTGGCTGTTTTTTTCCTGTGACTACAACATATTCATACAAAATAGAGTAGCGTATTTGAAAGAAAAAAAAACATAGTCAGATTTTCAGGCCCAAGTGATGGCTCTGTCAGCTATGGGAAAAATCTAGCTGTCAAATCTGACAAAACTGGAGTCAATTCAGTGACACATCGCAACAACGCAGCATGGTGGCTTTAGACAACACCAATAATTTGCACAAACAATCTTTTCAAAAGCTTCTGCACGGCCTACTTCAGAGCTAAAACTGGCATGTTAGCTGGTGACTGGCAGTTATAATTTCCCTGTAGCCAAATGCAGTATATGGTATAAATATTTAATGTATTTTGATGCTGATGTTGCTGCAAAACCATTTTAGAGTGTATTTCCACTTTTTCAGCCAGACTGGGATAACACCTACTTTATATATCTTACATGTTCATATTCACATAACATGACATTAAACAATATTTTAAAAAATGCAGCTTACACTTTCTAGGTGTTCTGTTCTGGAAATTCCAACACTGCAAAAACCCATATAGTCCTCTTTGTTTATGAGGGTGCTGGGCAGCCATGTTTGACATATTTAAACCTGCCTGTACTGTGCAGGCTGATCTAATTTTCAGCTGTAAACTAGATCTGAACACTGTAGGGCAGATTTACTAAAATTGGAGCACTCAGAATCTGGTGCAGCTGTGAATAGCAGCCAATCAGCTTCTAACTTCAGCTTGTTCAGTTAAGCTTTGGCAATAAAACCTGGAAGCTGATTGGTTTCTATGCACAGCTGCACCAGATTTTGCACCTTGCAGTTTTAGTAAATCAACCCCAGTCTGTCCTAACGAAGGGTAATGCTGACCTTACACCTGTAGAATTTTGTTCGAACATTCGGATGAGAAAGTATAAAAAATGCTTGTTCAACCTATCAATGGTGCCTTCATGGAATCGACTAACTTTTAATTTGAGTACTATGTCATTGTCTCATTTTTTGTAGCAAAGAGATATAGTCTGATTTACAGGAACAAACAAATGATCTACTTCTGAATTAACTTGGACAAATGCACGAGTAGATTTTTATCAGTCGGGAGCAAATTCAACAAATTTTTTACCACTTCCTTGCTGACCAATCTGGATGATAATGTTGCTCTATGATAATCCCTGGGGTCTTATGCTTTTCAAAATGTAGGTTTTGTATATCACTAGATTTACCAGTCCAATTCTTTGGGTAACTGACTGAGGAGGTATTATCAGAAACTTTACTGGTAGTTAAAATTGATATAAAACAAATTACTGTAACCTATAATTCTCTGTATTTGATTTGGATATACAAGTTGGAACGTGAATGTGCTTCCTTTTTATTTTTGAATATTTTTATATTATACTGCAGAAAATGTTAATAAATATTACCTAATTTTAAAAAAAAAAACTGTCTATTCCCATTAGATTTGACAAAAAAATCTATCTCTGCCTTTCAATTTTTTTGCTTGCTCTGGTTAAAAATTAATTGTCAAATTGTGCCCTTTAATTCTTACACAATTGAATGAATGTTCTAAAAATGTCAACTTTCTAATAAAATTCTACAGCTGTGGGACCAGCTTTAAAGGTTTAGAAGATAAGCTTCTTGCATTGTATGTTAATAAGAGGAGACTCAGCCTGTGCTTAGGACAGACTCACTCTAGACTTGCTTAGAAAGTTATGAAGTCTTCTCCTAAGAAACATCTAAAAAAGTAGGGAATATTTTTTTGTATGCTGTGTGAATTGAAATGCATACCAAACATACAGTATAGAGGTTTTCTCAATTTTCACTGGAAAAGTGGAAATACATTAAAATTTGAATATTGGTTGAGTACAACCTGTAGGCCTCAGTCTGACAGGATAGTCTTCTTTTAGTAATACAGCTTCATCCATGCACAGGCATATTACATTCCTTGAAATTCCCACTTTTGCGTATATTACTGTGTTTTCTTTTTTATATTGTTGTTGTTTGCCTGTGATCGGATCTATTATTCATTGTTTACTGTGCTATACATTTAAGTAGTCTATAAACTCATATAATTGTGTCAGATTTGTAGAGGGAGTCTTAGAGCTGATTCACAAATGTGCATTGCGGATTGAAGCTCAGGTTTCAAAGCTAATTGACACTACTTGTTCAGTGGTTCAGGTTAGGTTTACATCAGATTCAGGACAGGTTCAAGTCAGGATTTTATACTGTTCACACATGTGCGGTTTAGAAACGTTTACTCTAGAAGTCAATTGCCTGTAATCGGCACCTGACCCGGACTGCACTGCTCAGAAATCGGACGTGACTCTTTTTCAATCCGCAGTGCCAGTGCACCAGACAAATGTGAACAGGCACCATAGGAAGCATTGTTATTTCACATGTCATCCGGATTGGATGTGGTTCAAACTGCATCCAATCCGCATATACAGTTGCAAGAAAAAGTATGTGAACCCCTTGGGATTACGTGGAGTTTTGCATGAATTGGGCATAAAATGTGCTCTGAACGTCATCTAAGTCACAACAATAGAAGAACACAGTCTGCTGCACATAATACTACACAAACATTAGATGTTGCCATGGTTTAATTGCACATAACATGTAGACATTCACAGTGCAGGGAGGAAAAAGTATGTGAGGCCCTAGCTTAATGACTTCTCCCAGAGCTAATTGGAGCCAGGAGTGAGCCAACCTCGACTCCAATCAGTGTGATGATATTGGATGTGTTGCTGACAGCTGTCCTGCCCTTAAAAAACACACACCTGTTTTGGGTTTACTGGTTTCAAGAAGCACTGTCTGATGTGAACCATGCCTCGCAGAAAAGAGCTCTCAGAAGACCTACGATCAAGAATTGTTGACTTGCATGAAGCTGTAAAGGGTTACAAAAGTATCTCCAAAAGCCTTGATGTTCATGTGTCCACGGTAAGACAGACAGTCTACAAATGGAGAAAGTTTAGCACTGTTGCTACTCTCCCTAGGCGTGGTCGTCCTGTAAAAATGACTGCAAGAGCACAGCGCAGAATGCTGCCTGAGGTAAAGAAGAATCCCAGAGTGTCAGCTAAAGACCTACAGAAATCTCTGGCACATGCTAACATTTTTGTTGACACATCTACAATAAGGAAAACATTAAACAAGAATGGAGTACATAGGAGGACACCACGGAGGAAGCCATTGCTGTCCAAAAAGAATATTGCAGCACGTTTGAAGTTTGCAAAAGAGCACCTGGATGTTCCACAGCACTACTGGCAAAATATACTGTGGAGAGATGAAACCAAGATTGAGTTGTTTGGGAAGAACACACAACACTATGTGTGGAGAAAAAAAGACACAGCACACCAACATCAAAACCTCATCCCCACTGTAAAACATGGCGGAGGGAGCATCATGGTTTGGGGCTGCTTTGCTGCCTCAGGGCCTGGACGGATTGTTGTCATTGATGGCAAAATGAATTCCAGAGTTTATCAAGACATTTTTCAGGAAAACGTACGACCATCTGTCCGCCAACTGAAGCTCTGCAGAGGATGGGTGATGCAACAGGACAATGACCCAAAGCATACAAGTAATTCAACAAAACAATGGCTGCAACAGCACAGAATATGCCTTCTGGAGTGGCCCAGTCAGAGTCCTGACCTCAACCCGATTGAAATGCTGTGGCATGACCTTAAGAGAGCGATTCACACCAGACATCCCAAGAATATTGCTACACTGAAACAGTTTTGTGAAGAGGAGTGGTCCAAAATTACTCCAGATCGTTGTGCAGGTCTGATCTGCAACTACAGGAAACGTCTGGTTGAGGTTATTGCTGCCAAAGGAGGGTCAACCAGTTATTAAGTCCAAAGGTTCACATACTTTTTCCTCCCTTCACTGTGAATGTTTACATGTTATGTGCAATTAAACCATTGCAACATCTAATGTTTGTGTAGTATTATGTTCAGCAGACTGTGTTCTTCTATTGTTGTGACTTAGATGACGTTCAGAGCACATTTTATGCCCAATTCATGCAAAACTCCACGTAATCCCAAGGGGTTCACATACTTTTTCTTGCAACTGTATGTGAACCGGCACTTAAGGTTTAATTCTGATATGCATCAGATTTTTCTTATCACTCACTAAGATATGTACAGTATGTTTGGAGGACACTTATCTGTGTGGTCTCTTACATAGATTTGTTTTGGATGCTGATCACAGAACACTTCACTTTTTGTATACTTTTATAGAGGTGGTGTACTTTATATATTAGTGTGATTTGATATAGATTCTTGCAGCACTACATACACTATTATATATTTAGTATTTGAGTAGATGAGATATTCATTTCAAATGTTATATTATTGTGTTGCATAGCACAAAAGGCTTTTCTTGATATTAAGGATATGAGAAATAGTGAAACGGAGGTCAGAGCTAATTACTAGTGATTCATTGTGTTAAACAACAAGGGTATTGAGTATTCTTTATCTGTATGTTATTTATATGAGCCAACTTCACCAAATATAGGCCATTTTACATTTCTAGCATGATAGCATGATTGTTTTCATATCAATTAAATAGTTACAATGCTGTTAGGGAATTCTTTATGTGTAGTCACATAGCTGTAACTATAAGGAAGTTGTTCTGCCTTCACCAGGGAAATTCATTATGTGTGGGCAATATACTGAATTTGCTCACTAAATGTAGCCTGGAATAAATGTACTGTTTTGCATCTTACCCACCGACCTCATCACCACCCTTTTCTGGGAACTCCTCAAAGATTCACTGTTTTGATTTTATTTCTTTTTTTTTTTCACAGAGCGGTTTTATAACTTCTCACAGGAAACCTTGTGTCTACCATCGCTTCTGCTCTCTACTACTTTCTTTTCTCTTTTCTATTTCTTTTATAATTTTTTTCTCTTTCTCACTCCTCTCCGTGGGTAGCTCCATTTTGTTTATTGTTTATACCTCCCTACCACACTGATTTCTCTGCCTTACACATACCCATGGCCTTGTCATCACTGCCTTTGTTCTTAGCCCTCACCTTGGGTCCTGGGCTGGACGATATCCTGATATATCATATGTGTTGTTTGTTATAATAGTCATGGGATGTTTCACCAGTTTTACCAATGCCTATGTGCGGTAAATGTTATACTGCTCTTATCTATAAATAATAAATAAAAAAAAAATAGTATTTGATTTTACCCCTTTTTTTGTATTTTGTAATATTTCTGCGTTAATTAATAAAATATATTAAACCTAAATTTACTGTTTTGCAGAAGCCAGAGACTGTTTACCTTTAATAAAAACTCCCATCATCCTTCATTCTTAGAAAAGGAAACAAGTGCATTCTGGGAGCTCAGACTCCATCTTAGGAACTGAGGGAGAGGAAAGCAGCTATCATCTGTGTTGCACATGTCATGGACTAAAGTTACATTCCCTACAGGCAGCATCGCTGGTGGGCATGGATTTATTGCCATCAACAGGCTAGTTATTTCACTGTGTTTTTTATATACTTCATACGTTGATTGTATGTACTTTTTATCTATTTGTCCCAAAATTTTCACCCACCTTGTTTTGTTAATAAAGCTTCAAGATTAAATTTAGTCTGTCTTATTGCAGATTAGGAAAGTTTAGCTACATGCCGAGTTACACACAGGGAAATGTGCAGCAAGGACAGAACAGAGTATAGCCCACGAATACTGGATGAACTGTCATAGACACACCCCTACCAATAATATAAACAACATACAATTGTATAATAATTATATAATCCCATCATTCATCCAACAATGCAAACATTACATTTGAACAAATTGATGTTTTGAATGGCAAAAGATATGTTCCTTTTATAAGTTTATATAGTGTTTTCCTGGAAAATATTGGGTATGAATACATTGCATTTACCATCTGCATGCCATCTCTTTAAAGCAAACCTGTAGCCAAATTAATTACCAAAATTACCAATTAGCAGGCCCAGGCATGTTATGCTGTTGGATACCTGCTTCTGATAGCTTTCCTATTTTGATTCAGCTATAGGTTTTACTGTAATGGCAATACCGCTTGCAGTTTTATGACTCACAGAGCTGTGCTGGCATTAATTCTCACCAATGTCCATCATTCATTTATAATGTTCGACTCACCTTGTCTTGCAGCTTTAATGTTGACAGCCTGGAACCCGCCATTTAGTGCAGATGTGTCAATGATGTCAGACTCAAAACCGCGATGGTTCTTCCGATAGACAAACAAAGCAATGATGACTGAGATGGCCAGGCACACGATGACAGCAATGACAATCCCAACATACAGGGCTACGTTGTCTGAGCTTGGAGCAGCTAAAAAGATATAGCGGAATGTCTATGAGTTTCAGGAGGGAAACTAAGTGTACTTTCCAATAAATTGTTTCTCATAAAAACACGCCTTCACTTTACAATTGAGAACTCTCTTTTTACTTGCGTGCTCATTTCAAAGATTACACCATTATTGCATTTTCCAAACTGAAAGAGCAACCCCAATCCTTCATCTAAGTCAAAACGTGCTTGTATTTGAAGCAGGAAGTTAAAGACAAAGATCTATATAGTTTATTGATTAGAATGAAAGCTACAATAGGTATACGTGTTGGATGAGTCACTTACAACATGAGGCTGGCCAATAGGCTTTGGATAAATTAACCTAATTTTAAACAGGGTTTTCATATCCATCTACTTGATAAAATCTGATGTTTTCTTCAACCAGCTTTCTATAATGCCATAATACAAAACTGAGTCAGATGTAGGATGTTAATATTCATGGTGCTCACAGTAAATATGGATTGTCCATCTTAAATTTTTCATATTGACCGGGACAGATGTTGACAAAAGATAACAACATAATTCTTCACTGATTATAACCCATTCTTTAGTTTGTAGTGCCAGATGAGATTTGTCTGCATTGCTTACTGTGGTTCTAAATACAAAACAGTCATGGTGGCCAACAAAATTTGACTTTTTTTGTCAAAATAAATGTTGAAAAAAGCCTCTCTGTGAAAAAAGCACTTAGACCAGCTACATACAATTTCAGGTAATTTCAGGTCAATCACTTAAACAGCTATGCATGCTACTACAAACTGTTTTTATCAATTAAAAATTGCCAGTGATGGACTGTTTTGATCTGTTTAACTGTTTTTGTAATTTGATGCTGGTTTAATTTGACTAAAATGTCTGGGTTGGCCAGCATTTCTTCTTCTAATATCCAAAAACTTTATAGAGTGATACATGAAGGGAATAATTAAAACATTTTTGGAACTGTGTGACCAATTCTTCTTTTCTTCTTCCAGATATTGGGGTTAACTTACTTAAGGACAGATAGACTGTTCACTTTGCAAAGGAAGTTGAACTTTGCTCGGGAATTTTCCCCAGAGATTAGTTAATTAGGTGAAGCACTGCTGATTAAACCATCCAGTTATGTGCAAGCAAAAATGTTTTTTTTTTATTTTTATTTTCCTTGCATGTGATTGGGTATTCTTTGCAAAGAGACATTTCACCGTGTTCACTAAGCTCTGGGGAAAATTCCCCTGCAAAGTGCAAATTCCCTTTCAAGGCTGGCTTTAGTAAAAAAAAACCATTGATTCTGTCAGTGGTGGAGCAGGACATAACACAGCATGACTCTGGATAACTCACAATTGAGGCAAGCAGATATTTTTCTGAATGTCTTGCACTTTAGATAAGCTAGTTTGTATATGCAAGCCCTTCTAGCACCACAGTATGAGAGATCTGAGCTATAGATCTAAACAGCTTTGTCATTAAAAACTGCTGAAATGTTTTTAATTCTACCCCCATAATGTCAATTTCATTGAGCCCCATAAAAATCAATATTCAGTTACACAACATATGTAATTTCTGTTTATTTAGGCAGATTTAAGGATCAAAGGAATATTTGTACAGTATGTTTTAGGCTGCTACAGATATGAGAATAAAATATGAAACCTGGTTGCTATAGTCAACCACCCTACTTTTAATTAAACCTGTTTTTAGTAAAAGATTATTCGATCTGCAGACATGGGTTTATTTAGCATCAAATTATAATTTAATTTTGATATCAGCATATATAACCAAACATAAAATGTATCCAGAAATGTACAAATCAATATTTTTTTTTTTAAATCCACATTTCACTAACAATACAGCATACATTTGGCTGATCTACCTCAAAGCATTGCTCATAAATGTGAGCAATAATTTTGAAGAGGATAAAAACATACGACACAAGTAGCACTAATGAATGCATTGTGCAATAGGGAGCAGAAGTAGATGGCCGGTGCTTAGTGAAAGGCATTTCAATAGCATTTATGGCTGTTTTATGGCCATCCCTTGGAGAATTTTATGAGAGGGCTCTTACTCCACACTGCATATCCTTCCAAATCTAATTCACTAGAAATGGCAGCTGGCTCTTTCTACATCCATGTGTTGATACATTTAAAAGCATTCCCTAAACTGTATCTGGCATAATATTGTTTATTTCTGTTGGACAGCTATCCCTGCCATGAGGTTTGCTATACTGAAGACCAGACTATCGATAAGCCAGGAATATGAACTGGCCTACCACAGCTAGCAGCTGCACAAACCGACTAAAGGTTTTGAAGCTGAGTGCTGAATACAGCAGATTAAACACAAACAAAAGGGGAAATTATCACAAACTTAGTTTTCAAAACATTGAAAAAAGGCATTATACAATAATTAACATTCCAACAGTTAAATTACTGACATTAATGTCAAGAAAAAAAAAAAAAATCTTGCCTGTCTGCATTGCTCAATAATGTAGCTCATGTATTTGAAAGACAAAATAATCTCATAAGAAAAATTGTGCGGGTTCTTGATCACAGTGACAAATATTCTCCATTGATGATAAACCAATGGATTAAAGATACGCCAAAGTCAAAGTTGAAGACTAAGCCCTGAGATGCATAATAAAAGCAGAGCTTTCTTCAGTACATCCATTTTTCATCAGGACAGTATTGTAGTTAGACAAATATGCGAAAACCCTTTTGTTGTTAATCTGGTGATTTGAGAACCCCTGCTTGTGATACGACTATTCTCAAACATATGCTCTGAATGCTCCTTGATGTCTATGCTATACAAATAAGTTAAGCCCAGTACACACAGGCAGAAAATCATCCAGTTCTGCAGGAAACAACCAACTTTTGGTCCTTGTGTACAGCTGTCTGTTCTACAAAAGCTGGTCTATCAACTGGCTTCTGTCAAACAGGCATGCTGGAAAATGAGTATTCGATCAGTGCCTGCAGCCAATGGCTGAGAGCACTGATCAGTGTATTCTAGCTGGGGGGAGTCCCCCTGTTAGAATACAATGTCTCAGCGCTTGTGTTGATGCAGTGATCTGTCAGGTTTTTTTGTTCAGTCTCTAGTTGAATGAAAAAAACTGAAAGTGTGCACCCAGCTTTAGTGAAAAGTCTTTTTAAGTCCAAATATAAAATTCCACTTGCCATAAGATTGTTAAAAGAGATGTATGGGTTTGAGGGAAAAAAAGTATACTCACCTAGGTAAATACAACATCGATCCGACACTACATCTGTCCCTCACCGGTTGTGCACTGAGAACTGAGCAGTCCAAGACTGCTAATCACTCAGTTTCCCCCTCCACTCTGAGTAGAGAGTGGTGACTGTCAGTCACTGGCTCTCTGCAATGCCCCTCCAATGCTCATTGGAGCTCCAGGCTGTGGAGCAGCTGGCTCAGCCTTTCAGCAGTATTCTGAAAGGCTGAGCAAGCTGCCAGTTAGGCTTCTGGGTGGATCCCAACCATACGGTCAGGATCTTTTCAGAGCCTGGACTGGTTCTGTGACATCAGTCGATGTCAGCATGCAGAGAGGCTGAGCCAGCTGCTGGTCAGGCTTCCATGTGGATACAGTATCAATCCATTGCTGCATCTGTCCCTCACCAGCTGTGCACAGAGAACTGAGACCGCCAATCGCTCAGCTCTCCCATTCAAAGAGCAGAGCTGTGACTGTAAGTCTCATTGGAGTGCCCAGCTGTGGAGCGGGCAGGAGCAGCTGGCTCAGGGTCTCAGCTGAGAGGCTGAGACAGCTGCCAGTCAGGCTTTTGGATGGATCCTGACCATAACAGGCTCTGTTATGTCAACCAGTGGCAGGCTTTAGCCTGTTGTGGGCTGAAAATGGGTCACAGGAGTGCAGTTCAATCTACACTCCTGTGATCCATAGGAAAAGTAGGGCCAAAAAAGATTTGGTTTTACTTTAATTATTCTTGCATCAAAAAATTATTAATGTGCAACTGTGTGAGTTCCTAGTTTTCAGACCAACTATCAGTTAGAACTAACTGAGGCATACCAATGCTGCTAAACTTGGTTTGGTCTTCTAAGCTTCAGAAATCTTTGGCCTCGAGGGTGGTTGTATAAATGGGTCTATCTGACACAGGGACAAAATGCTCAGGTGTTTGAGTCCTTCATTTTATATGATACATTTTGGTAAAACATCTTCACATTAGATTGTTGGGTTTTCGAGATAGTTATAGAATTATGGAATACCTCCGGTCTTAGTAACATCATAGCTTTTTAGTTATCACTGAATCTGTAATATACTTGCATTGAAGAATGTCTCTGTTCAGAAAACAGATTTTCCTTGACTGCCTTTTATGTTGCCCTACATACAGTATACGGATGGCCTCTTGCTAAGGTACTGACTCTTTTAGCGTGCATAAGAAAGTTTGCTTGATAATCAGGTTTTAATGCCTACAAGGTCTTTCTATGCAAAACTCACAAGATTAGAATGATTTAACCATAGACTAGAGGCAGAAAGCAGAAAAGTATACTAACAGTTCATTTTTTTTATGCCTTTGTGGATTTTTTTCCTTGCCGGCAAGTAATCCACAGTATAATAGATGATACATGAATGCTTGTTTCACTTAACAGACTTGTCCCTCCACATCTCAGAGTCAGTTTGATAACACTATAGATGACAGGGAAAGATCAGTTCAGTTTTATACTTGTTGAAAGCTAATAAAAACAGCTAGAAGCTTTAGAGTTTTCATTCTATACTTAACTTATTTTGTGTTTATAGAAACAGTGTGAAATTCTACTTCTGTAGAGAACTTGAGGTTGAGTAACAAATCTGTTAAAAATCCTACATCAGTTGTCCTATAGTTTTAAGCTTTATAGATATGCATTACTACTGAAGATATTGTTTTAAAAAGAACTCTCCAATGCTATACATTATATTGTGCAGCCACT